TTAAAACATAGAAAAGGAAATTTTCTTGATATGATCCATATTCCTTCACAGTGTGACCATCCTCTTCTCCTATCACGAAGTGTTCGCTACAGCATTATGCAGGATTTACTCTGTAAGACATGGCAAGCTCATGCAGTTAATGAATTGCTTGTAAAGTACAAGCACCCTGTGGAGGAAACACTGCTGTGTCCAGCAGCGAGCAGATAGCAATACCTGATATCCATGTTAAATAAGTCTCTCAGTAAGCATGCACCACTTTCCTCTCTGCTCCCCTGCTGTTTTCTACTTCCCCTCTCTGCTCTCCTCAGTGCACCTCTCCTCTCTTCCTCCATTCCGTTGTAGAACAGTGCTTCCTCTATCCTATGTACTGCACTCTCCTCCACTGTGTCTCCCTCTTCCCTGCCTTTCTCCTCCTGCCAGTCTGCTCTTCTCCTGAGAGTCTCTGCTCCCATTTTGTAGCCACTTTTCCCCAGATGATCCCTCACCATTCTCCTCTTCAACACGCTCTCTTCCCTGCTGCTCCTGGTCTCCGATCCATTGCTTTGCATCATTCGTCTCTGCTCCTTTTGGTGGTTTCTCAACTCTCTCATTTCTGCCCTCCTGTGTACAGTACCTTCTGCCCAAGGTTCTCAGTGCCTTCAGACCTTCACTTAGCATTTCTGTTCTAACCATCTCCACTTTTATTGCTTCTCCTCCTTTCATGCACCTTGTAAATTAAATGTATGGGTGTTCTGACCTAGACTTCCAGTACATAAGGTTTCAGGAGACTTGAACAAATAAAAGAACCCTCCTGCCGCAGTTAATTCATGTGAGCACCATTCCTTAGCTCTTTTTTTGTATCAATGTTTTAGTGGTTCAGAAAGCTCAACCTTCACTCTCCCCAAGTGAAGAAATAGTATGAACTGTACTTCTTGCCTACAGGAGGGAGGAATACACGTTCATATGTGCTTATGTGTGACTGCTCTGCTAATTTTGTCCTGTTTTCCTACATCCTCCACCTCACATTCACTACCTGCTCCCTCTGTCTCCTCTTTACTGCCGACCAGCCACCATCAGCTACCACTGCCATCTGTCTCCCCCATTGTGTCCATGATCTGGTTCTGCATGCTGCCTCCTTGTTTCTCCAATCAAATCCAACCATACTGATACTTTGTTGTGTGCTCTTCATCAGAAAGGATCCTTTTTCTCCAATGTTCATGACACAATCAGTTCAGTATCAGTTAAGGGTCTCTAAGCAAGCAAACCGGTTGCTGGTGAGCATGGGGTATATGCCAGCTTTCCAGCACACCTAGTATGTGCCAAGTGCACATTTAAATGTTGACTTTAGGTCTTCAGTTCATCTGCGCTATTTACAAAACAGCATCTAGACCCGACATATACTTACCTATCTTGTGTGGTCACCGGGACCCCAGCCAGAGTCTTCAAATCCACTTCTTTGCTGCCTGAAATGGATGGGAGTCTGTATCTGCTAGGAACAGGACAGACCTGGCACTGCGTGGAAGTGCAGGGCTTGAGAGGACACACGGGGTGACACTGAGGTCCCATTGGGTGCAGGAGAAGCGGTAACACTGGGAACTCGGGAAGATCTGGACTTAGAGTGCCTGCATGTTTAGCAGAGGTGAGAGCTCTGAGAAGGTACGAGCCGCAGAGCACAAGGAACTATCTAATGTTCACCAGATGATGGAGTGATGGGCTTTGCTGCAGGACAAGCTCCCAGGTTGCAGCCCTCTGGCTCACCCGAAAAGGCTGCTACTGCACTGGAAGCACTGAAACATGAAGGAATGTCTGGAAGCAGTAGAGTGCTTGCGTCACTGGTGAGCAGGAGTGCAAGAGTCTCTGGAAGCACTAGGGTGCTGGAGTCATAGGAAGACAGGACTGCAAAAGTCTGAGGAAGCACTGGGATCACAGAGAGACAAGAGGGAACAGTTTCTGGGAGCACTGGGGTGCTGGATTCACATGCAGACAGGACTGCAAGAGTCTTTAGGAGCACTGGGATCACCGAGAGACAGTGGTGAACAGTTTCTGGGAGCACTGGGGTGCTGTATTCACAGGAAGACAGGACTGGAGGAGTCTATAGGAGCACTGGGATTCACAGAGAGACAAGAGTGAACAGTTTCTGGGAGCACTGGGGTTAGGGTTGACACCTGTCCAGGATAAACCCATAGTAGACACCAATACAAAGAGGCCGATGTATAACCCTTACACCTGGTGCATGCTCCTCGGCTTCATCTACTGGCAGGAATGCTGTGTGAACAGGGGCGGACTGACAACACATGGGGCCCCCGGGCAATACAATATTGTGGGGCCCCCTTGTGCTCCACCCATATACAAGCCCCATGCACAGCTGAAGGGCTGCTGTATGGGCTATTCACCATAGCCCGTACAGCAGCCAAAGGCAACTGAGCGGCTCAGCCAAGCCCAACCCATAGGCTTCAGCTTGGCTGAGTCGTATTCACAGCCGAAGCCGACCGATCTCCACGCAGATGACAGCTGGGCTGGGCAGTTGTAATAACAGATCAGCGTCTTCAAATGACCTGGGGATGCTGATCTGTCATTAAACAATAACAACTGGGCGTAGCCGCTCGTGCCATCACAGCCGACTCCACCCAGTTGTTATTTATTGGCCGGGACCTACTAGAAGACTCTGGCAGGTGTCGGCCAATAGGAAACAGGATGTGCGTTGTTTTTTCTTAAAAATATTTGTAATTTTTTTTTCCTATTTTTTTAAAAAAAATTTTAACAATTTTTCTACATTTTTTTTCTCATTCATTTAACTTCTTTTCTATTCTGCTCGCTACCACGGAGGTAACGAGCAGAACAGCCAAGCCGAATTCCGCTTGCGGCATTTGGCTATTTACTTATTACTGCTCGCCCCTATGAGAAAAGGGGCAAACGGGAGTGAGTGAGCCGCCGGAGCTTCGGCTCAGCCGATCCAGATGTCGGATCGGCTAAGTCGAACTCCTTCTGCACTTCGGCTCAGACGATGTACGGCTGATTTTAGCCGAGGTACAGCTGAAATCAGCCCTACAAGGCTGAAGTGAATAGCCGAACAGCGTTCAGCTCACTGCACTTTGGCTGGGTTATTCACTCGGTGAATAACCCCTATAGTGTTTGAATTTCCGTGCTGAAGACCACACGGGACGCAAACGCTATATGTGAAACAACTGCATGGATTCCGCTCGTTTACAGTTATTATATAGCCGCGAACGTACAGAATCCGCTGGATTATCGCACTTGCACTATTTTGGGGGCCGTGCGGTTTCGTACTGCGTGTTCCAGCAATAGTCTGGACAAAGCACATAAAAGTGCATTGTTTTTTCTGTTTAAAGCGGCTCCGCTCATATGAGGACAGCCACTACAGTGTGTACTGCAAGCGCGATAATCCATCAGATTCCGCATGTTTGTGGCTATATAATGGCCACAAACGAGCGGAATCCGTGCAGTTCACATACAGCATTTGCGTCGGGTGCGGTCTCCCACATGAAAAACCGCACGGGAAACGCAAACGCTGTATGTGAATGGAGACAAAAGGTTAAAATCTTCCCATTTAGCTCATATAAAAAAAGTAATTAAATTCACTTACCAGCATCAGGGCTCCTGATCCCCAGGTTCCAGTCAGGGTTTTTGTAGAACTCCTAAGTGGGGAAGTGGGGGCCCTGGGCCGGATCTCAGTAGGGTCAAGCAAAACAAATGACAAACGCACTCAACAATTCGTCACCAGCCATACAGTAAGGTGCACACGAAATAGGCTTTGAACAGTAAAACAGTAGAAAGGCATCATGGCACACTCACAAACCAGCATGTAAAACAACTTGTCTCACCACTGAGGTTAATAACAGAGGTTTGGATACACGTCTTCTGCAGAAAATGTGAAAGCCGCACAGCCGCGCCAAGGCACCTCTTATAGTGCGGTCCTAATTCTAAACTATGAGAGTCTCCATCTTGGAGCACAGAAGATTTCAAATTGGGTGCAGGTTTGTCAGGAGGAAGCCCAACCTCCTTGCTTGACCAATTTGGTGCAGTGACGCATGGGGGGCCAGTAGCCCCTATCTTAATTTTGGTTGCCCCTGTCTGCCTGACATCTTGTGTCCAGGTTTCTGCTGCCATGAAACCTGGGCACAGCATTCAAAACCCGAACTGTCCGGGTGAATTCCGGACAGGTGGCAACCCTACCGCTTATGTATAAATTTGCTTAACCACTTGCCGTCCGCACGTTGTAAAAAAACGGACTGATGGCACTGCAGCATTGGTGGGTTGCCGACTCCGGACGGCATTTTTTTTCTGCTCGCGCGCACCCCCTAGCAGACGCGCACGGGCAGAAAAGACCCGACCAATGCAAACACCCGGTACCGGGTGTTTCACATATAGACGATCGGCAGCTCCATAGCCCGCTGATCGTCTATACGTGCTCGTTTATTCCGCTGCCTTTGTCTTTTTACCCGACGTGACCCCGTCTTTTATATTTTACCAAAAAATTGGGTAATAATAAATGTTTTATCATTTAATATATGGGAAACAGTTTTTTAGTTTTTTGTTTTTCTGTAATTTTTCCTATATATAGTAAAAAATAAAACCCCAGTGGTGATTAAATACTGTACCACCAAAAGAAAGCTCTATCTGTCCCCAAAAAAGGGTATAAAATTCATTTCAGTACAGCGTTGCATGACGGAATAAATGTCAGTCAAAGTACCGCAGCGCTGAATACTAAAAAATGGCCTGGATGGGAAGGGGGTTTAACACCGTGGATGTCAACTGGTTAAATATAAACCGATCTCTTGTCTTTTTTTCTGACAATGAACAGATCACACTTGTCTCTTTCTTGCAATAAAATACGTTTGTGTTCTCATATGAAGAGGAATTATTAGTGTAAATCCCATGCATGCTGACAGGGAGGTCAGTCATGGCGGCCCCCATATGTCTGAGTGTCAGTACAGCTCTATTATAAGGTCACCGCAGGAGAGAGCAGCTCGCGCGTTTACATGAGTTTTGTCCCTGCCCGGATTCCGTGACCCGGAAGAGGCGGGGCTATTGTACCTATTTCCTACCGAACTCGTCTCATTGAGGAAGGACACAGTAGCCGGTGGAGGTGAGTGACGGCTCGGGCGGTGAAGCGGACCTGTATACTGCTGCTGTACCGGGTGGCTCTATACCGGGTTAGGGGGTCATCGTGCCGCTTCCTTCATGGCGACTGTCACCTCCACTGACAAGCGCTCTCCCCGGGGAGGCCTGTCCTTGGCTCCGGCCTGTCAGCGTGTATGGGGGACTGTTCACACAGGGCACCGTGATGGTTCCGGTGCTCTGATACTAGGCGCTTTCTCCTTTCTGAGAATCCTTCTATTATAATTGTGTGTGGTGATTTCACTGGAAGAGCAGGAATTTGTACTGCGTAGCTAGAGCAATGATGGTCAGCTTACTTGATATAGAGTGGCCCCTGATATCACTGGAGGGCCCCATATAATCAATGAAACATTAGGTCACAGAAGGCTGGCAGAGACTATAGACCAGTAATGGTTGGAGACTGCATGTGTGACAGGCAGCAGTTGGGGGCAATGGGCATGTGACGGGGAGCGGCCGGGGGCATGTGACAGGTGTGGTGGTTGCTGGCTGGGTGATTGGGGACGGAGGGCAATTGGGGACTGTGGGCATGTGAATATCGGGCACACTGGAGGGGCAGAAAGCGATATTGGAAGTTTTGCACATGCTTCAGGAGATGCACTACATGAGGTCTGATTCATACCTAAGCGACAGCGTTTTTTGTGTGCGTACAAGTCGTGTGTTATGGGGAGATTGTGACACATTTATATAAATGGGCAAAACCGATATCATCGCACGTTTCCAAGCGTCTTCTATTGCCACTATGGGGACAAAACGCGCTGTAATCTGCCAGAAAGAAGCTCGGGTACTTTTTTCCAGGGACAGGCGTTTTGCTTATTGTAACACAATGCTCAGGTGTGCACAGGGGCCATAAGGGTGAACAGGATATTTTGCGGGGGCCTTTTGTCGTGCTGAATCAGCTGCAACAATACACTCAGTGTGAACCAGTCCTAAGACTACCAGAGATCACATGACCTGCTATGCTTGGGGGACCGTGGTGGCCAATGGTTGGAGGCGCTAAGGGTGATGTTGGACATTTTTGACATGTTTCAGGGGGACACTACATGGGACTGGCAGAGATCACAGATATTACCGCCCGCAATGACTTTTGGTTCCGCATTTGGTTTTTCTCCGTTATAAAAGAGGGAAAACATAAAATGAGTATTGGAGAGGATGGTGTGTGAGAGGTCGTAGAGTTTATCTACTAGATTCAGTCTAAAGGAAATTTCCTCAGTGAGCACCTAGTGAAGGGGAAAACAGAGACCCCGAGGGCTATTCGGTTCCATGTGGCCCCCGGAGAAACATTACAGGGACACCCATGTGCTGTGTGATCCCAGCTGTGACGCTCCTTCCTGGTCTTATTGGTGGATTGACGTCCCTGGTGATCTTCACCCTGTATGAGGAAATCTCCCATCTCATCAGTACAACTCTCTTCTATCCCGGCCCCTCAACTTGCATACGTGTCTGTTTCCATCCATTCTGCATTGATGTCAGACCTTAGGAGATGGGGGACCTGTAGATTCAATCCTGCAGGTGGGGGGAGTTTGGGGTACTGGTCCACTAATAAATAATGGGCCGTACAGCTCCAGGACTCTGCAAGGTGATGATTACTGGAGTCCTTTAGGGATATAAAGCCAAATGAAAAGTACAATGCTGAGTACTCGTCCATTCAAGGTCAGCTCGGACTATGATTTTATGAGGTCTAAATAATAACATGAGCAGAATGGAGGTCTTCAGGAAGAGAAAATACATGGCAAGAAAAACATAATCTCAACCGAGGAAAAAAAGAAACTTGTTTATCCCCATTGGAGGGTTTCCTGTCTTTGGGAGAAGAGATTTGAGGAAATCTACACTGGACACACTCTGCAGTCTGAAGGTCTCACCCGGCCTAATGCTGTATTAAACTGAAACCACATTGGGCCGTACAACATGTGAGCTTCTATAGACCTCTGACTGACATTACTTTGGGTAGTTTTGTGTCCTCCCGTTACCCTAAGGAGAACTATGGGGGAAAACACTGACCCCATAGTTCTCCTTTAATATTAATAAGGTACAAACGTCCATCATTCAGGTGTTCTGTGCTATATGAGAGCATATTGTACAGTGTTGGATCGTATGTAGGTTGATCTACATATGAATGAAATGGTAAATACTATACATATCGTCCGAAAATTGCACTTTGGGCAGAAGTGCCAGTTTTTGGGCGAAATTGCGGTACATCCCTGGTGTCTCTCCCCCCTGCTGTGCGCTGCTCTGTGTTCCCTCTGATGCAGAGCATCATCCAGGGGGAAGGAGAGTGATGTGAGCCGCATTGTCGCAGGAGGTTGGGTTCTCCTCTCGCCCCGCCTCCTGTGATAGATCAGCATGGAGAGCTGACGGTGCGGGGGAGGAGTCAGCTGTCAGCCATGTCGCAGGAGGCCGGGCTCTCCTTGCCGCACCGCCCTCTCAGCCTCCTGTGACAGTGACTCCGGATGGAGAGCAGTTGTAAAGAATCACCAGCACACCATGGGTAGTGTCATCTCCAAGTGCTTAGCTGGTGATTCTTTACTACTGTTTACTTGCGGAGATTTCAGTGTTCGCTACAGCACCCATCTACATAATATAAGGGTATCCGGTAAGGTGTGCGACAGTATCCCCATGGAAATTTTAGAATGGAGAGCGGGTACAAGCGCTCAACGATCTGCCGATCGTTCAATGTTTGTAAATAATTGAGGGTTTGTTTAATGTGTCCCCAATTATGAATGAACAGGAAGTGCTCTAAATCACTTCCTATTCATTCATGGTTGTGGACATGGTAACTCGAGATCCATCATAAGACCTTTTGTTAAAGTTTTTAGGACTTGTGTTCAAAATCGTCAAGTAGTTAAAGATGAAGCAGAACCATACCGCACAATGATGTACTCCTGCATATCAGACAAACGGGTGCACTCCTACTTTAAGAGAAGGAACTCTGAATCCATTGATCCGTGCAGTTAAAGGGAACCAGTGAGGACTGAAGGAAGTATTCTGTGTTTGTTGACTTGTCAGATGGTGCAGGTTGGATGGCCGCCATTGACCTGCAGCAGCAATCAGTCCGGGCTCCTTACATGTTTGTTCCAGGTCCGTGTCACTAGATGAAGGGTGTAGATGATGGTCCTGGAGCATGCGCTGTCACAAACAAGGCACCAGGACACTAGAATTAGACTTGGTGACCTGTGATGAGCAGTGTGGGAACTGTCATTGCTGACCACCTCCTCCTTTTTAGAATGTAAAGCTGACCATACACCCCATGAGCTGAACGGGGGAAATCGCTTAATTCTTCTTCATACTAAAGAGCGGAGACGGAGGCATCTTCCCTGCTGGCTGTTGTATTCCGACAGAGTGGTCAATGTGGCCACCAATGACAGCCCGCGATGCTATACCCATGATGGTAATTCTAATGCAGAAACAGAAGGAAGCATGGGGCTTTACGGTGCATTTGCAACAAAATGTGTGCGTTGGACACTTTTGTTTGATTTTTTCCTCTAAGCTAAAGTTTATCTTTCAGGTTTACAAAAGCGTCATCATGTCACAGAGTCTTCTAGCCAAACCTCAGATGAGGGGCCTTCTGGGCAAGAGGTTGCGGGTCCACATCGTTGGAGCCTTCGTCTTTTCATTGAGCGTTGTCGCCCTGTACAAGGTAATTGTGAATAGTCATCTAGCTATGGTGTGTGAGTGAGGACTGCAGTGTACTGATTAACCCTTTCCCCCTTCTATTCTTTCTTTGCATGTGGTAATCTGTATTTTTGGTTTTTAAAATTAAAACCCCCCAAAATGAGATTTTCTTCTGTTCAGAAAATAGAACCCGTTATCTTGTCACACGGTCTATCAAATCAATATTTTCTGTAAAATGCCTTGGTGCACAAACACCATATCAATTTTGTTTTTCAGATAGGTGAGATTTTGTAGAGTAAATGGAGACCAAATGTCTTCCTCCTGTTACCCAAAATTCGGCAAATGGTGGGCTACTGACCGCTATATGCTGACAGCGCAGAGATGGACTGCAGCCGGGAAATATCCTGACAACATTGTCGGGATCCACCCCGCTACCTGATTGACATCTGGCTCTGCCTCTAGAGCCAGAGACCAGTGTGCCCGCCCCTCCAATGAGTGCTGGAGGAACATAGAGGGGAGGGGGCAAATCCCTGTAGGTAGTGATGACTAACAGTCCCCGCTCTCTGCAGGGAGAAGATCGGCGGTATGTGATCGCTCCGTTCTTCATCTATAGTGCCGACATGTGACGGCTGCAGTGTCTGCTCTGATTATGTGGATGAGTTCAGTTTACTCTTCCCCATAGTTCTTGGTTAACAGCTCATTAGTTCAGAGCTAACTGTAAATGAGGGACCCGGAATTTTCTCTCCAATGTGCACAGCGATGACCTAAATGTGTTTCACAATTATTATTTACACGACATGTGCATGGTTGTGTGGTGGGTGGTGCTTTTTACTTTTTTGCTACCACATGGTGGCTAACAAGCCCTCTATGAGGGCATTGGAAACGGGGACGGTTGTACTTTATGGCGTCATCAGGGGTCTGTTAAACCTTTACTGTCTCTCCTGCCCTCTGCTTCAGTCAATTGGGCATAGACTGTGTTCTGTCTGCTGTTTGCCTGCAGCTCTGAATGAGCCACTTTTGGGTTCACACTTTGCCTCCCCGGCTGAGTGACCATGCTCGGCTTGGCAATTATAGCCCTGGGCGGTGTCACAGTGGAGGTGGTTACAAGCTCCTTCATATCTGGACGTGCCGGGTATTCTTGCCGCCTGCAGGGAAGGAAGACGCAGCAAGGTAGACCAGGTAAAGTGAGAATGTGGTGGTTGGGGGGATGATGCCCTTTTCAGGGGTGCTGTCACTTTGCCCTGCATGGTGACTGTAAAGAACATTTCCTTTCTTCTCTAGTTGTTTAGTAAAGTATCATTCATGGAAGTGTAGTAATGTCAATCTTTCTTGTTTCAGTATGGTGTGGCTGAGCCAAGGAAGAGGGCGTATGCCAACTACTATAAGAACTATGATGTAGTGAAGGAATTTGAAGCCATGAGGGAGGCTGGAGTGTTTCAGGGTGCGAGACCAAAGGGAGAATGAGACCCCCTTTCAGGTAATGAATACAATGTCTGTGATATGGGAGCCCTGTGAAGGACCAGAAATGTGATGTTCCTTCAGTATCATTTGTCTGCTTCTTCTCTGGGCTGACACCTTCCTGTACAAAACGTCAAAAGTTAATAACTCTCCATAAGAGTCGCTCATTGGATGTCTGCTTTGGGTAAAAAAACAAAATGGTATGTGCCATTCATGACTTCTTTTTAGAGGTACGGGTTCCACAGCTGTCCTTTTGATCCTGGCTTCTTTAGCTGGCAAGTAGATGACCAGGAACGAGAATGAAGAGTGGGAGTATACAGACTCCACTAGCTCTGTGCTTGTTCCAGATGAGCAGCTCACCAGATAATGGCCCTGGAACCTGCCTCCATTAAATGTAAGTTGGCAGTGGCTGCTCCCAGGTCTGTCTTCTCAGGTTTGCATTTTAGTTCACCTGTACTAAGAAACCTGTGGGCTGCCACTGCGGACCACCTTCTAAAAATGGTGGTTGCCAGACAATTGGGGGCTTCAATACTTAGTTGGGAGCAAGCATGCAGCAAGTGGTGTCAGACTTCCTGGCCTTGGATAAGCAGCCAGAAATGATCAGTTATCAGAGCAGTCAGCAGCGGCAATGTACATTCTTCTCTCCAGGTAAAGTGAGACTACCATGAATGGTGGGGGCCTGGGTGTAGTGATATGGAGGTCTCCCCACCTCTGTCCTATTGGAGGGTGTAGTTTGATTTCCCTGTAGAGTTTCTTCTGAAGAAATTAGAGAAATACTTTAGTAGCTGCGCTGTGATCACAGAAGGGTTTAACCCCGAGGATGCTGGTAATATGGTGAGATGTGAAGGAGTAGGACTATATAGCTATACTGGTGGGGAGGGGATTTTTGAGTTACAAGGTATTCTTCAGCACACAAATATGGGAGCTGCTACTGCTGACTTGTTTTTCGGAGGTGTCTGGCGTTGTCATCCTCTGATCTTTCCTTCGTGAATTGTGATTGTTCTGCCTAAAGAGCATGCGGTAATTTCTGGTCAGTGACTGGTAAACGGAGAACAAAGATGATGGACCTAGACCCTGCAGCTGCAGAAACAAATCTGCTTTGGCAGCTCCTGTAGCTCAGTCCTGTCCATTCCATCAACTATAGATGCGTATGGGCAGGCCCTGATAGTGACTACTTGCAGTATATATTGCCATCACTAAGGAAGATTGTTCTTCACACTGTTCAGGTTAGCATTCTACAGCAGATGGAGGAAATGCATGACTGCTCTGTATGACAGACGTATGTGAGGACTGTGCTGCGTCTGCTGAGACCAGTCCTATATAGTGTGGCAAAACTGCCTCTTGTCACCACCATCATCTCTATCTGATGTCATCCATCTCTGGTCATTGAGCTGGTCGTGCTGATGTGACTTCTATACATTCCTACTGAGATGTCATTATCCTGCTACTCGGGTACACGGAACCTTGTGGGCATTGTACACATAAAAAGGAAAATCCATTCTTTGGTAAGGAAGAGATTTTAAAAATTCTCCTACCAAAAAGCTCTTCCTTCCAGGTATATATCATTTTTATCACTACCTGCGATCAGTTATCTCCTGTTCAGAGTGAACATTAAGTCTCCATTCACCTCTATATTTTAGGTGCGAGTAGGGAGAACTGCGTCAGGCACTTCCTGCAGCAGGGATCCCTAATCTGGCGTTTACCAGCTGTTGCCTGCTCAAGTTAATCAGGTGACAGTGGCTGCATTGAATGGCGGCACATTGAATGTCATTTTGTGTGATGCGATTACATGTGGTTAGGATTCATCACTATCCCTGGACGCACAATGCAGGGATTGTGATTGATTCCTAAACGCATGTAATCGTATCACATGATTTACATGTGGTGTACTGCTATTCAAATACAGCGGCTGACACGTGATCATTAACTTGAATGGGTGACAGCTGCTTGTCAATGGCAGATTAGGCATTCCGGCTGCAGGAAATTGCACGTTCCTGACGGAATCCCTTATATAGATGTGAATGGAGCCTAAGATGGCAGCCATGGGTACGTCTTTGTAGGTCCTCCAGTGTGCGTCCTTAATGGTCAATATCTGATGAGGCATTTGTTTCCCCAGGAGTAAGGTCGCCTCTGAATTTTCATATGAGACAATGTTTATTTGGAGTGTTGACCCATTCTTTACTCTTTGTTCCTAGGAAGATTCTGAATTCCTCCATGTGTACGCGATGCTGGACATACCTGATGTGTATCTCAATATCCAGGGCAGGTGAACACCACTGGACGTATTTCTACTGTTCTGTAAATGTGTTAAATAAAACATTGAAAACCTGACCATTTCCTGCGTGTTATGTGGGGAGGTAGCCATTGTCGGGGTTTCCCAGCCTACGTCTCTTTCCATACTGGCATGTTCATACATATGAACCTCCTGAAACCCAAGGAGGTAGCCAGCAATGGCAGCCATGCTTCCTTGTGTAGATGTAGTTTCCGGCCAGCATACATATGTATAGTGGTGAGGTACCTGATGTGAGCTTGCTGCACCGGAACTAAACATCTGTTTTACTTTGTATGTGTCAGTGCTCCGTCCCGTGTCAGGGCTGTATCTCGCTGCACTGCATTTTATAGGTTAAAGTCCATTTATTATTTTCAATCTAGTTACTGTATAATATATGCTGAGAGAATACTTAAAGGAGAACTATGGGGTTAAGGCTTTTCCGCATAGTTCTCCTTAGGGTAACGGGAGGACACAAACTAGCGTCCTCCCTTCACCCTAGGCTCAGCTGTAGCTCGCGGTATACTGAGACGCCGGAGCGGATCCCGACATCGATGTTAGATCCGCCCAGCTGCGTGAGTGACAGCTGGCTCTGCCTATCTAGAGGCAGAGCCAGCTGTACCCGCCCCCTCCCCCGTCCGTTCTGCCAGTCAGCGCTGGCAGATCGGAGCGGGGGGAGGGGAATCCAGCCCCTCCCCCTGTCACGGCAGAGAGCCGTGACAGGATCGAGAGGTGAGCGAACGCCAGTATGTGTTCGCTCACCTCCCGATCTACTGAGCCGACGTGTGACAGTCTCATTGTCACAGGTCGGCTAGAACTATGAGGTGAGTGAAAGGCACTCATCTCATAGTTCTCCTTTTTTAAGGAGTTCAGCTTTTTGTTTATATCGGCAGATTCACACTACTCTTTCTAATACCCAGAACAGGCTGTGTAGAGACTTTGTTTTCAACAGTCTGTTCACACCAGCACATCCCATGGAAGGGTGGGGAGTCCTGCAAGGTGCATTTAAATATTTTACACCATTTTTGGTCAATGCAGATTTATTTTTTGTATTGTAATGCTTGTAAATGAAGTGTAAGAAAACCCCTTCTACTGCTGCAGCTTGTGTATTTAACATATATGATTGTTAATAACAACATAGATGGATTTTTTCCCCCCCCTTTCCAAACCATGTGCTGACTCCACCAAGGACATCAATCAGAGCATTGGTTTTCTATTAGAAATGGGGATGTGCAGATTTGTGTTCAGTAGAAACCCCTGAGACAAATGTTGGTGATATCTGACTAAATAGAAGAGCACCTTTTAATGTGAATTTTCTAGGTCATGTGCCTGCTGAAGAACAAATAAGCATTGCTGGGTTTTATGGGGGTGGGGTATTAGTTTGGTGCACATCTGCGCTAATAGGAAAAATCAGCACAAACCCTAAGCAGTGAAAGAATTCCTTTTACTATTATAAGGTAGACAGCAGGCTGAGGCCTCGCTTGCTCTATTACTATAGAACCATTTCTCCAACCAGCACGTGGCTCAATGCTATGAGGTTCTGGACACAAGGTTTGATGTGATCTATACATCTTCTTCCACTTTCCTCCAATGAGAATAAACCTCTTACTTCTGGATTTATCATAAGCGACTAGCTTCTGGTCCATAATGCAGAACGTTACCCACAGTGGCGCTCCAAGGCTTTGCTTTCTAGATTTAGGAAGGGTTAGAACAGGGGTAGCCAAACTCCGGCCCTCCAGCTGTGGTGGAACTACAAATCTCATGAGGCATTGCAAGGTTCTCCCAGCCACAGACATGACTCCCGGAGAGAGATGTATCATGGGATTTGTAGTTTCACCACACCTGGAGGGCCGGAGTTTGGCTACCCCTGGGTTAGAACGTCAGTCAGATTATATTTACTAGTCTTGTGGGAATCGTACAGCAGCTGTCTGAGCAAGTGCAATGAGAAATGAAGTGCAAGCTCCTGGGACAGATGGCCAGAAATTCTCTCCCATTAGAGGCAGGAGATCCACTTTACATTCAGTTAGGAGCATTTTGGCATATCTTTAAAGGGAACCTGTCTGAGGTGAAGCTCCTCTCCAGTTCTGTGATGTGCTCTACCTAGCACTAGCCCAGGAGTCAGATGTTGGCAGTCAGAGTGGTGGGAACAATGACAGGTCCCCTTTATTATAATAGTTCACCGCTTTCCTTATGAATCTTACACACATTTCATCATTAGAAGGTGCTCTGGCTATGGAAGACTTCAGATCACTGAGTGTCACCGCTATGTTCAATAGGCACGGCTCTATGGCATCTGGAGTGAGATCTGATAATGTTTGGCAGGTGTAATAGACACCATTTGTAAACTGTGTGGGCAGCCATTTTGTATGCTGGAGAATGTGGCTTGTGAAAAGCATCTGCTTCATTTTAATAGATACCTAAAATGTTTTATGAACGGGCAAAGTCTAAGTGGCATATCTACCAGCCGAGAGTGGCCATCTCAAGTGTTGGAAAAAACTGAGCACATGTACAAAGCCAGCGAGAGAGAGAAGGTGAAAGTCTTACCTCCCTGTGACTTCTACAACTTCCAGGAAACGCTCATTGTGTGACTCCATCCTCTACTGAGGTCACTTGTGGAGAGGTTGTCACAGGTACAAAACCCTTAGGAGATAAATGACAACTTTCCAAGTCCATCT